AAAAAAACCCCACACACTGGCAATAGCACTTCAGAAAATAAATCAAGACAAAACATTATTTAACAAAAATGTCAATTAACTGACTCACGTGTGAAAACTGAGACCTTTCTGTTGTAAAAAATAGAAAAAAAGGGAAAAAAAACCTTCTTATTTCTTTGTTCCTTTTGTTGAAAATTCCTAGACTTTGTGCACTGATAATACTGATTTCAACAGTCACTTAAACATTTGCCTTCTTATGTCTTACTTCAATCTGAACTGGTGAGCACAAGAACAATGCTCTAAACATGGGGAAAAAGCACAAAACTGTTTAAGTGGCAGAACTTATCTTCACAGGAGGCGGCGCTCTTGGTCAAACAAACATCACAGCAAACAGCATGTCCACAGAGAGGGATTCTCCCACAAAACAGGAAATCACTCAAGTTTTAAAGTTTCCTTTTAAATCTTTGAAAAAGATTGATGGAGCTTTGTGTGCGTCCTCAAACTTTACAACACAGACCAAACACGGGCATATTAACTGGACCCTGGCACAAGTCTTGCCTGCTTTTAACACTTTGACAACAGCAGAAAGTAACAATAGCAGGCAGTTATCTTACAGTGACTGTTGGCCCCAGTCAGAAGTACAACTTTACTGTTATCTTTTAGTTCTGGAAATGTTGGACAGCAAGTGCACCGACTTTACTTTACAACCTCTCATTTGTCACTTTAGACTGGCTCTGTTCCTCCGCTCAACACCCCTCCCTTAAAACACTTTCTCTTCCAATCTAGATCGAATTTTTCCTCTCCATTCCTCTTCTCATAAGAGCTTCAGCAGCAGCTCATAGGTGGCATTGATGATCCCCCAGGAGAGAAGAGAGCGATGGTAGTTGAGGTGGGCTCCTCTGAACAGCATGGCTATACTGCCACCCCTCTCTCTCCACACTGTTAACAGCACCTCTCTGCAAGGATTGAAGGCTCCACCCACCTGAGACTGAGCCCGCGATTTGACGACATTTAACGGGTAGAACATGATGCCAAGGCCTGCCCCCAGCAACCCTCCGCAAACAAAATCATTAACCAAGTTACCTGCCTTGCTAGTAGCTTCTGGGAGCTGCTCTTTAATGGGTCCCCTGAGCCCAAAGAAGAGAACATTGCTAGGGCCATTGCGCAGTAGTATGGGCACGAGGCCACGGTAGCACTCTCTCACACCATACTCTGTCACAAGTGTCCGGAAGGTGTGTGCTGTGTTGTTGAAGCGCCCGTGGTGCCGGTGGTCTTGTAGGAGAGTTTGCACACGCTCAAACGGTGTAAGGATGGCCTCTGCAGTTCCTGCCAAAGCTGCAGCAAAGCTTCTTGTAATCAGCTCTGGCACGCCACTGCTCCCAGCATGGTCTAGTAAGACTCTAGAGAAGTCCTCATACAAGCCAAACATGATGGCTACTGTAGTGCTCTTTTGGAGAAGTGGGGGAAGTAAGCCCCGATAAAGATTCCTCAGTCCATCCCTCTGGAGCTGTCGCACCGCATCAATGGCCAACACGCCATGCAGCTGTTGGCGGAAGAGGACTTTCTGGATTGGAAAGGTCAACAATATATTGGTAAAAGCTGCAAGGGAACCGCAAACATAGTGCTTCCCTTGAGGTCCAAACCTGGCGGTCAGAATGCCAGCAGACAACAGGGAATGGCCTCCTTTTGTCAGGGCTTGGGTCTGAGGTGTCCGCGCTGACTCGGAGTCCATGGTGCTAACAGCCATCAGAGGCCCGGTGCACCACAGCCTTATCCTCAAGCATCACATCAACATACTTCTGTAAATTTATGAAACACATTAGAAAGAAGAAATATCAGCAGGTGGGTTTTTTTTATATCTCTTCACCCAAACAAAGATATTAAGTATGACATTATTTGTGAAGTACAAATAAAAAATTAATCTGTGGCTCATATTCTCTAAATGTGGCCTAAAGCTGGCTGAACTTTTCCAACTCAATAACCTGCCTTAGACTTCTACAATTACACTGCAACAACTGCCAACTGATAAGAGTAGGGATGGGTACCGGTGTCCGGTGCCATCTGACATAAACGGTAGTAACCAGACCGAAAAGCAGCGCACATTTCGGTGCTTTATTTCGGTGCTTTTTTTTCCTGAGCTGTGATACACTTTAGATTCTAGCCAATCATTTTACGTTTCCCAGGATAGTAGGCGGGGCCAGGTACGTACGTTCTGTTAGAGCAGAGCTACAGATTAAAAATGTCCAAGGCGAAGCGGTCAGAAGTCTGGCTGTACTTCACAGCAAAAGATGCAAACTCAGCAGCAACAAGTGCTTTAAGCTGATACTGTGATACTGTCAAAGGAGGTAACACCAAGAATCCGATGAAACACCTGGTGACGCATAGCGTTTTTTTTAAAAGCCCAGAAATGCGCCGTATTTGATAGCTTGCTGCGAGACCTCACACCGAGCACATCTACTGCGGGTGGGTTGCCTGTTATGCAACATCCCCCAAAAACACGAAGAGGAGAGTCCTGGCCCCTAGCCCTGCCAGTGTAGCAGAAATGATGAGGATGATGGTGGCAGCAGCCGTTCTTCTCTGCGTGAGTAGTTTACGTTGAGTAGGCTAACCACGTTATTACATTAATGCATGTAAGGTGAACTAGCAAACATGATCATAGCTACATGCAGCTGTCTTCTTGTTTGATGGCAGATACTCCCTTCACCCTGGACAAAAAGGCTAAAATGACCAAAGAAAAAGTGGAAAACAGTTAAACATGAGAGGTTTAGGACAAAGTTTGTGTTTTCTCCATTGTTTAAGCACTGCTTCCAGCCAAGAGTGATACCATATATGCCCCATAGCTGCAGAAAAGGCTAACATTGTTATATTTTTACAAAAAACAGCTGAACATGAGAGGTTTTTGGACCAATTTTGTGTTCTCCATTCTTTAAGCACCGGTTTGAGCACCGGCACCGTTTCAAAAGTACCGATTTGGCACCGGTATCGGATAAAACCTAAACGATACCCATCCCTAGATAAGAGTATTACACAACTTAGCAGCCTGATACGTGCATGCTACGTAATGAGGGAAGCAAACCTGTTATGTACAGACTACACCCTTTATTTGCCTTGAGCATTAAATTTAGTTATTTATACAAAACATGCAACGCATACATCTTGTGACATACAATAACAGCAGTACAAATGGATGTTCCCACCAAAATTATAAGAAATTGTCAAAAACATCTTTAGTATATAAAGCAACAGAAAGGAGAAGTGGTGGTAATGGTGCAAGGTCAGGAGAGGTCAAAAGAAATCTACCAAAAGACTCTTGACACAGTTTTAAGTCAGTATTACAACACGAGACGACCACATGGCTGCTTTTGCATGAAATTGCATTGTGACATTGAAAACACCTGCAAGTTTAAAGTAACCAATATTTTTGTGTCTCTGCGCCTCTTTGTTGCAGATTTGCTTCCATGATATTTTAGAAGAAATTACCCAACTTCCCTGCGATGAAAAACGGACATTCCATATCCAAGCATACAGATCACTGTTAGAATTGTGACATCTAATCAGAAATACAGTCCAACCATCCCTTTTTATTATGCTGCATCTTGCATGTTTTTGCATAACTATAACAATCAGTACATTACATTTACTTTGGATATTCGACTGCACCTTCTTGCTTAAAACCTCTACATTTACTTTAAAATAAGTCATAATCTAACACAATAAGGTATTATTGTCGCACTAAATAAACTGTTACCCACTAATCTTATTTTGATCTTGATATTTTGACTCAAATTTGAGCGGAAACAAACCATCTTAACACAACCTAATCTTAGGCGAACACGCCCTCTGTGTACCGTTTCTTTAGGATTCAGTAACGTGTCGCATCAAGATTTTTCCAAGTTTTCCAAGACAAATAGCAAGACCTCTCGAACATAGAAACACTATTACTTGTTTTCTGTATGAATTACTTAGTAAGGACAAACACATCACTAAGGAGTTAGCACGCTTAGCGTAGCAGCCACACATAGAAATGATGGACTGGTTAGCTAGCTAGCTCAACGGTGCTAGTACCTGCACCCCTCGCTTACGTTTACGTTTAAGATAAAATGAGGAAGTGATGAGATATATAGTCACTGCATGCTACGCAAAGACAATTGTCCAACTAGCATGCTAAGTGGCTAGCAAGAAGAGAGTCAAACGGACAAGTGTTGATCCATGTTTGGTTGGAAATATCGTCCGCTGCCACTGAAAGTCAACAGGCAAAATAAGAGTCGCGTAGTTTTGGTCACATGAGGACCTGGCCCACAACTGAACCTTTACCTGCAGTGAAACCAGCCGCTGTCCTATCCCTGGACAGGTAGAGCGCTGCTTTCTGCTGGGTAATTGGGCCACTACTGTAGGTCGCGTCTGCAGTCCTAACAAACGCAGGTGACAGCAGCGCTTTTCCACGCCTGCGCACTGCTGTCGATCCGAAACCGTATGCATTGGGTAACGGCTGATTCGGAGGTAGTTTTGAGATTTATTTTAGAATTTATTGTATTTAACAGTGCAAACCTCAATAACTTTAGTTGTTTAAATTTTCCTGATTTTTTTTTAAAGTACGTCATATCAAAATAGTCGTGTTACAATTGTTCTTATTTTTGTTGTTGTATTTTACCTGATCCGGTAGCCATTCGACGTAGCTGTCGTAAAACGACACAACGCGTCGTGACGTCACTATCGTAAAGCTAGTGAGTGCGTCGGTAAATAGAGATTTATCTTTTACTTGCTTTCGCTTCTCATTATAAGTGTAGTAGTTGTATTGAAATAGAATAGTTGGATAATAGGCGGTGGTCTGATGATCAGTTATTGCAAATATGCCGGCTGAAAACCAAATAGCTGACGCTAGCTAGCTAATGTGGCTAACTGTAACGTTACATTTGGCTGCTACATTAAAACACGCATGCATATTTTGACATTTTGTCACATCCGGCACCTAAACCCAGAAGTATAGAATGTCAGCCCAAAAGGACTGTGAGTTTTTGGTGAAAAGAGCCCGGGAGCTGGTCTCTGATGATCCCTGTGCTGCCAAAGCCTGGCTCATCACTGCCAGGACCCTTTACCCTGCAGACTTCAACATACAGGTAACGCAAATCATCTCCTCTAGCTGCAAAAGCTGTCAGTAAAAACATCTTCTTACACATCGTATTTCTGGACCTGTTTTTACAGTATGAAATGTACATCATTGAACGTAATGCAGAAAAGACAGCTTCAGCCGGGCGGCTGCTGTACGACATGTGAGTTACATTTTTAGCGTTAATGTCAAGTTTCCTATCATGAGTCTGACCTCTTACTTAGTTTTGATTTCCCTTTAGGTTCATAAACTTTCCAGATCAGCCCATTGTTTGGCGTGAGATCAGTGTTATTACAGCCGCCCTGCGGAGTGACTCTCAGGATAAGCAGGCACAGTTTCTGAGAGGTGAGAGGGTTTTAACCCTTCATTGCATGCATTAAAAAGTGTGACAATGAACAATGCTTCTTGTGAAAATCTAAAGACTATTTTTTTATTTTATTTTCAGGACTTTTTGAGACACTGCCTGGTCGAGTGCAGTGTGAGATGCTGCTGAAAGCCACGGAGCAGTGTTTCAACACTTTGGAGAAGGCAGAGATGCTGCTGTTACTGCTGAAGCGCTTTCCAGAGTCTGTGGTTCAACATGGGGTGTGTAATATTAGTATTTGCATTGTCTTTTGAAAACTATATGTAATGTTAAAAGCTATTAAAGAACCTGATGTGCTGTTAGGTCAATTTAGGAGAGACATTGCTGGAAGCAGAGGCATCAGAGAATTTGGAGACTCCTGTCAACTGCTTCAGGAAGCTTTTTGGTGAGTACATATTGTCTTTGAATCCATTTCATTTCATCTGAAAAAACAAACAACACTTGCTTCATACAGTTTTTTCCTCCTACAGTGTGTGATGTGCTTCCTTTGGTTATAAACAACATGGATATGCGTCTGCCTGCCAGCCTAATGCAGAAATACATGTTGAAAGCAGCAGAATTCTACATTGGTTATGTTACCCGTGGGCCCTCGCCGGATGGACAGATACAAGGTGAAGATACACTGTGGTGAACTTGTTCTTTGCTTTCTATTTTAGGGCTGTCACAGTGGGATCACTTTCACTCTTAAAATTTTCAGTTCTCTAGTGGGCTTTATAGTGAAGCCTTTGAAATATTTATTTTTTCTATTTACTTTGTTTTTCTTGTTTTCTGTTTCAGGCTCTCAAGAAGGTGGGGCTCTGAAGTCACCGAGTGTGTCACGTGCTTCCCAGCGTTACGTGATTGATGGCCTGACAGAAAAATCGTCGGTGGTGGCAGAACCTTGGGAGAAACTGCTGGATATTCTTGCTGTGGTTGGGGCACGATGTGAGTGGCAGGGAGACAAGGGACAGAGGTAATCTATCACTTGGCCTGTCACATTGTTATTTAGCTACTGCTGTTGTTCCTGCACAAAGGTGACATAAAGTGTAGGATACTTTGCTCAGGGATACCTGATTTGTCTGATTTGGATGCTAAGTGGGGTCAGGCCTGGAGAGTTTGCCTGGGAATACCAGGTCCTGTAAGCACATGACCTTTGGGTGGTTGTGGCTCAGGTTGTAGAGAGGGTCATCTACCAACCAGAAGGTCGGTGGATCGACTGAATCGCAAGTTTCTGTCAGAGCGTCCATCAGAGTGCTGGTTGGTGTGTGAACGCTAGAAAGCACTTAGGCATAGGTAAAAGGGCTGTATGAATGTTTGTGTGATTTGATAGAGCACTTTGAGTGCTCAGCCAGAAGGGTGCTTATCAGTCCATTAGTTTAGTAAGTACACTGTGCAAGTGGCATTGTTGAATTTTGTTACTACATTATATGTGATGCAGAATTATAAATGGTACAGGAATACTGTTGCAGTTGTCAATTATGGCTTCTTTTGATTGTGTCTTTTTGGTTTTCTCTCATGTGCTTTGTTATGCTGTGAGCTTTTTATGAGGTATTTATGTTTTCTCTGAGAAACTGAATGCTATCTGCTACCTTCTTGTTTTATGTTCATGTGTTGTAAATGTTGGATTGAGTGTTTAAGGACCCCAGGAAGAATGCCTTTTTTAAAATTACATATGAGTTACATTGTGGGTAATAAGTAAAAAAAAATCTTAATTTAATCAAAAACAAACAAAAACAAACACATAATAAAACAAATATAATGTGCCCACATGTAAAATGTAAATAATAGATGGTTAAAATGTGGATCGTTCAATGACTTTGAAGGGATTATTTAAAATTAAATTTTTCAAAGGAATGTTTTCATGTGTTTATTTGCACTGTAGGAGTTATATTGAGATGCTGCAGAGAGTGAAGGAGCTGTGTCGCTACCTGCCTGGTCTAGAAGGAGAGACGAGGGCCCGGTGCTGCAGTCAGGTGGTCATCTGCGCTGCACTTGTCCTCTTCCGTAGTGCCTTCTTCTACGTCTCAGCTGTACAGCCTGCACTGTTCCACGGTTAGCTTCTACCTTTGTAGATCTCCATCTTCATTTAATATATCTACGGTAATCTTTTGAGTAAAATGTTACAAACAGGTTTCAGTGTTATTTTTTTCTTTTTAGGAATCAGTGGGTTAAGTTCCGGGCCGTGGATCCTTGTAGAGGATTTGAGCTCAGTGTACAGTGATGTGGAGGTGGAGCGAGGAGCACTGAAACATGCGCATAAGAAACGCAAACTAGCAGATGGAAGAGAGAAGACTATGGTGAGAAAAGTTTAGATATAAGTAAGACACTTTAATTATCCCAGATTGGGAAATTCTTTTGATTACATTTGGATCTGTGTGTCATTATAGAGCTCAGATGATGAGGAAGGTTTGGGGAAAGGCCGTGGTCGACACATTTTAGTAAACAAGAATGACATGACCAACTGGTCAGAGACTTTGGAGAGCTTTCGCACAGCGAGAGAAAGCTGGGACCTTCTTCACTCCCATGATGGTCTGGAAGCTGGTAGGAGATTTTTATGTTCAGTCATGTTGTCACTACATCAAAAGGTTGTTATCAGAACAGCTGAAAATTGTACATTTTAATGTCTCTCAAAGAGTTCAAGAAGATCTGCGCCGCGTGGAAGACAGACAGCTGGCTGTGGTTCCGAATATTCCTCACCGACATGATTATATACCAGGCAAGAGTCGTTTTTAATTTACCTTTTCTGTTTGTGACAAATCATCTGCATCCCTTTTATTTGTTAGCAGCAGCATCTTTAGCTTATTATCTTAGCTTTAGGATCAAAATATGCCATCATTTTAATACTGCTTTGAATTAAATAGCCCCGATCAACGTTGGGAAATGCAATTATTGCATAAGAAAGAACAGATTATACAGATGCAGGCACTCACTGACCACTTTGCCTTCAAAAATTCCCTGTGACATGGCATGTTATCCTGCTGGAAACAACCAGAGAAATCAGAAGATGGCTACTGTGGCAATAAAGGGATGGAGATGGTCTGCAAAAGTACTCAGTTAGGCTGTGGCTTTTAAATGATCCTCTCTGGGGTTTTTTGAGTTACCATCATCTTCCTATCAGCTCAAAGCCATCTGGACCTTCGCCTCTGACCTACAGATATACCTAATAAAGTGGCTGGAGAGTGTACATTTTAAGTTATATAGAATTTAAAGAATGAGGCAAATGCACGCAATAAAACTGGTTGAAGTTGGCAGATGAAACTGGCTATTTTAATATAATTTAAATACACTTAAGCTAACACATTAATCAACATTTGGATATAATATCTTTTCTAAGTTGTCTTTGGTTATATACTGATTATGTGCTAATGTATTATCTCCAGGGACAGTACCGCAAGGCCCTCTCTAGCCTGCACCAGATGGCTGCAGTGCAGCAGCCTCAGCCTGGGCCACAGAGTCCCTCAGGTCAGGCCAGTCTGGAGCACCACAGGGCCTTCATACAGCAGGCATCCTGCCACTACGCCCTGGGAGAGTACAGGGTATACACATGCACACAAACACACTCTTAGCGTACATTATTTTGGTTTTGTCAGGAGACATGCATATGCTTATATGCCTTTCTTTTTCATAAATCATGTCAAATGTATTTATACAGTATGTTTTAAAACAAATGTAGCTGAGAGAAGTGATGAACTGAATTTGGGAATGTGCACACAATATTAAGGCAGAAAATTTAAATAAAGAAAATAAAGACAGTAATTGATTGAATATTTCAACTTTTTTATTTTTATTTTATGAAAGCACAGCTGGCAGGAAATATACTTTACTGTAACATTTATTGATTCACATTGAAACTTTTGATTTATAATTGGTCATATATCATTTATTTGTTTTTTGTTTTTTTACATATATATTTACTTAAAATATGTGATTGTATAATAAAATGTTTTGCAGGCCATGTATGAAAAACAAATCAGTGACACCAACTGGCCTGAAGGTGGCACTACAGTTAAAATGGGTTAAAATGTCCTAGATTAAATTCAGGTGTTTAGAACAACTTGCATCACTTTTATTCAATTTTCTCTAAACCAAGCTGACAGACCTGGTCCATCACAGCTCTGTCATTTAGTCAGTTTTACTATATTAGTATAAGTTTCTTAGCCTAACAACATGTCCTTTGTCCAGTCAAATT